CTCAATCAATCTACGTTCATTACATAGTCATAAAGATCACATTAATAACAATATTAATTTACCACACAGCTGGATAAAGGCCTCCCCAGGCCACGTCAGCCATTGGGGTTGTTTTTGACGATACTTCACCACGCTGGTCAATATATGTGAGTGAATGGGGTTACGCAGGACTGGTTCAGATATCACTTGCCCCTGATGTTAGCTGTGGCCGAGAATCAACCTCGGGACACCGAATAAAACAGCGTGTGTACGTTGAACATCTTACGCATCGTACGTAGCCAGCTGTGCTCATTGGAGGCATGCGGGGGAAGGACAACCAAACTAAATGCACAAAAAGTGTTACGCAGACGGGGACGTCTGGGACAGTGGTGACTCCCCCACACACGCAGACTCTAGCACTGACTCTCACAGACGCGACACAGTGACAAACCCTCACAGACCGTCACAGACTCGCCCGTGTTTCACACGGCGATACACTTCATCATCCTCATCATCCTCATCTCAGCAGCACTATCGTCATCATAGGCAACGTCATTATCAGCACCGCACTCACCAGCGGCACCATCAGCGGGTGTTATAAGCATCACCAGATTCAGTGGCGGCCGTACTGGCAGCATCATCGATATGCGCACCAGGAATATCCCCCGGCATCGTCGGTATATCTGCAACAGCAGTTTTCGGTGGCCTCAGAATCAGCAGCAGCATCATCATCATCAGTCTCGCCATCAGCAGTATCAGCAGCATCTTCGGTATCAATCGTGGCAGTATTGGCAATATCATCCATTTCCAGCAATACTGGCGGTATCATCGGTTTCAGCATCAGCATTCTCATCAGTGTCATCGGTTTGGAATGAGCAGTAGGTGCGGCACTACCAGAGTATCAGCGGCATCGTCACGGCCGCCCCACGGCCAGGCCTTTGTGCAGGGGTCCTCGTTAAGTTCCACGGCGACGGAACATGGGCAAGGCCGCACCGTTCACAGCTGAAGTTGACCCGCTTCTCACTCCACACAGCGCACCGTCGACCCGCCCGTGGCCGCGTTCGTGTGCTCTTCCTTCCATTCCACTGGGAGCCTATGGCACTTTAAAATCCAGATTGAAAACTCATTCCTTGAGAACTGCTTGTTTTGTCTTCGGTTTGTTGTTCCTTCCCCCCGCACCTTCCGATGAGCAAGGTCGGCTACGTACGGCGCCAAAGAAGTTCAGCGTACGTACGCACAAGCGTGGGTTCGCTGACGGCGTCGTGGGAATCTTGGGAACCGGTTTGCGAATCTTTCGGTGTCGTTGAAGATTTTCTAGGAGCGGCCGCTCCATCGCCAGATCGGAGCTCATCTTGTCAAGGCCATTTTCTTCACCCACCGCGTATTTTTTTCTCGTGGTTTTCGTGTGTGTGTGTCTTTGCTGTCCTTTCCCCACAACCTCCAATTAGCACGGTTTGGCTACGTGCGGTGCGAAAGAAGTTCAACACACACACAAACACACGTACTCCCTGCCTACAGAAAGTACCACTGGCCTTAGACGGCTCTCGCCAAGGTACGTGCACATCTGATTGACGCCACGGCCAGAGGCAACCACGTGCTGCTCGTCCTACTCCAGCTGCCGGCAGGGGTTTGCCACCCTCGACCACGAGACCTTCCTTGCATGCCTCTCTGGCGTTCGTCTGGGCATCCATTCAACTGAGCTCCACTCGTTAGGTTTATAATCTGGCCGGCTGCAATCGATTTGTTATTTTCAAAGGTCAGTCATCCATGGCACACTGTCAGTCGCAGGAGCTCCGCATGGCTCAGTGCTGGGCGCCCCTGCTTTGCTTGCTCTACACCGCCGACATCAGCAGTGTAGCGTCAAGACGTGGCATGGGCTCACACTTCTACGCTGATAGGTGCAACTATGTGGGTTGCTGCGGTGGGGTGGGATGTTAACTCCATCGCCTGGTATGCAGGAGGTCGTGGCTTCGATCCCGACACTGTATATTTGGAGATTAAATGTCTCTCTCTCTCTCTCTGGATTGACGATTGATGGAATCCAAACGGATGAAACCGAACCCATCGAAAAACCGACTTCATGCGGTGCACCACCGCACATCACCAACAAAAACTGAGCACAGCCCTGCTTAATGGTTCAGAGGCGCATCTATCACAGCCTGGCTCTGGCCAGAGCCAGGCTGTGACCTTGGTGCAACACTCGACTCGAGCCCTCAGCTCTATGTAAGTCAGCAAGTCAGCTTCCATCAGCTGCTGGTGAATCAAAAGTTGCGCGAACGAGTTGCCTCTGTGATGCCGTCAAGACTGTGGTTAACAGCTTTGTGTTCTCTGGGGGGGGGGGGGGGGGTTTGACTACCGCAACCGTTCACGACGGCCGAGGGCATCTCAACAACTGCTCGATCGCCTACGGCAGCAGTGTACAACTTTTTTGGCACCAGGGACCGGTTTCGTGGAAGATATTTTTTTCACGGACCGGGGGGGGGGGGGGAGGGGGGATCATCATTGGGTCTTTCCTCCTTTACAAAGAAGTTCTCCAGCGACGTTTGATTGTTACTCATTGTGGCTACTGGGGTTAGCTTGTGGGCTTTACCAAAACTGTGACTGAGACGAGTGCGCAGTGCGGGAAAGAGGCGCGGATGGAAGTGGTAAATAATAAAATAATGGGGGCGGGCCACGTGCGGACTCACCGCTCTCACCTCCTGCTGCTGTGCGGCCCGGTTCCTAACAGGCCACGGACTGGTACCGGTCCGCGGCCCGGGGGTTGGGGACCCCTGTTCTACGGCCAAGTCTGGAACAACCCGCGGCTCAAGTTTGATCCGCGGCAGTCAGAGGCTTGACCGAGTTTCGCGACTTTCCGCGCAGACAAAGCGACGTTGGTTTGCGGGGTCACCGCAGTGAGCCCAGTTTAAAGAAAAAAAAATAACTTCGTCTTGATCGCAAGCAAGGCGCTGCACAGGGTGGCCCACCCGCAGTGCCGAGCCGAGTCCTGCGTGCCGGCGTCTGCCAACGAGTCCAGAACGTCACCCGAAGGTCTCGGAAGCACGGCGAGCTGTGTGTGTGTGTTTCCGAAGGCGAAAGAAACAACGTTTGGTTGTCCGCGCGCCTTTTTGCCGGCCGCCGTGGCCGCATCAGCCTGCCGCTGCACGTCCGAGCCATCGAAGTTAGCTGATCGTCATTGGAAAACTCGTTTAAAACAGACCCGGCTCGTCGATGTAGCCACAAGTGTCACCACATCTACCTATCATGCACGTATGCTGGCCAGCGGTCTTGGAAGCGATGGGAGTACCCATCGTTAACCCAACAATACGCGGTTCCCAAATGTAAACACTCATTAATTGTCCAATAACACCTATGCACGTTAAACTTCTTTCACACCGTACATAGCCAAACGTGCTAATCGTACGTAGCCAACCGTGCTGACCACATGTAAACACTCATTAATTGTCCAATAGCACGCAGGCATGTAGGAATAATTTATTTTGCCCCGTACGTAGCCAAACGTGCTATTCGGAGGTGTGGGGGAAGGACAACAAACTGAAGACAAAAAACAATTACAACGGTCTAATAACTATTGTTTAATGTTGTTGTCGTTTGTGCAGCGCCTCTGTTATGAATTGCCACGTCACGATGCTGTGGAAAATGTCATTATTATTACGAACCGCTCTATGACTGCTCCACCGCCACTATAAATGTCTTCATTTATATTTTCTTTTAAATGGTAATACGTAGGTGTGAAAATGGACATCAAACCTATGGATTAATAACGGTTCCTGAAAGCCACGATACGTGCCTCAAATTCGCGCACATCAGAATAAACACACATTTCATTTGCATACCTTGTTTGTCATGGATTTACGTGCCCTCTTCAGCCACTAGGGGCCGCTACACTCACCGCAATGTCAGAGCAGACTTGACTGCAGTGCATTTATTTTAGGGCTGGAGTAATGAGCTTACAAGAAAGAAATGAAACAGTCTATAAGAAAATAAAGCCTAGGGCTCATAATATGGGGGTGTGTCGTACGATTTCTCCTCCATGAAGCGTAGCTAGTCAACTAAAAACTTTGACTCATGTAGGGATAGCAATAGTTATTGTGGCTGATGTAAAGTAGACTCGAAAATCACGAGAATAGCTATTTTGGGGGGGGGGGGGGGGCGGCGGGGGGGGGGGGAATTCGGTAAAAAAACCCCTCAATATTTCGAGACCCATAATTCACGTGAGTACGAGACGGTGGCTCCTTAAAAGCAGTTCCTTAAAAACAGCCGCACGCAGCCCCGGTGCCGCAGGTTTGCCGACCCCCGGTTTAGAACAAAAGAAGCATCTTTTTGTTTGTTTGCACGATGCCACTTGATCCTATCTACATTGCCTTTCCAAACTTAAATCTAGCCTGACTGCACTCAGACTTGGCTAAAGGCCCTGTCTTAAAAAAAAAAACTGCTACGCTGGACAAATACGCAGGATGCGCACCTGACCGGTGGAATATCGTGCGTACAGCGCAGCGAAAATCTATTTTGCTGAAGCCCCCTTCTCACTTTTCTCGGTGCCGATCAAGGCCATCTGGAAACATCCGATCGTTCCTCGGCGACCGCGACTTTCGATAACCGCGTTCGCACTTGTTCAAAGAGACGTCCGACACGAGTGGGCAGTTTACAACATTGTTTTTTTTTATATTCCCCGCGCGTTTTTATTTTATTTTGCACGTATTCTTTGGTTCGCACAGCGGAAAGCTACCGCCGCTGCTCCTGCAGGTGTGCGTGCGAGGGGAGCGCGATCGGTCGAGCGATTCCATTCAGAGCCGGCGGACTGATCTGCCGAGAGCGTTTAAAAAATACAAATTCCGCTTCGCGGCGCACGGCGGAACGTGCCGCGCCAATTATGAACACTCTGGCATGAGACCACCCTGCAATTAGCTGCAGCCACCACACCTGGTAAGGGAGGAAAACGACAAACCCAGCAGCATAATCAATAGGCCAAGACGAAGAACGCCGTCGGCATGATGCACATTCAGTCGCTCCGTACTCACTCTTTCTCCCCTCTCGCCCTTGTCACCTGGCGGACCGCCTAAACCTGGCAGGCCCTGCAATTAGAAAGCCATTTGTTAAGCGCCAGCGCCGCCTATGTAAATCGCGCGCAGTCCCGCGTGGCGCGGGCATCTGATTACAAGCTCAGCCCAATTTTTACGACGGCGCTTTATGGCCACGTTGGGTAGCTTCGTGCTAGGGTTTTCTCTACCTCCCCGTCCGATTTTATTGTGCAAAGTATAAGAACAGGGCTTTCGTGCCGAAAGGGCACTAGTTGTTTAGATGTCAGAGTTTTCAAAAGTGAATGTTACATTTTATGCAATGCGTATATATTCTATGCCGGATTTCATGGCCTTTAACGGGGACGCACGTGGGCACAATTATTTGTTTTTATCAAGCACATGAACATTCAACATTTGACGTCGCATTGTTAAATAATTGTAGTACGCTCGTTTAAATTTACCTTCAAAGCAGAAATGTAATCGCTTGTTTAAAGCAGTATTTTTCTGGAGAAGTTTTGTAACCACAGACTTTCATGCTGTAACTTAGATATTTTACTTTATGTGGCTGAGGTTTTAACTCCTATGCAGGCTAAATCTTGACTTAAAGCTTTTCCTGCCTCAGCAGCTCACCCGCTATATTTTTCACCTGATGACGCGATTGCTTGTGTTGCGATAATATTTGATTAATTTTATTATTTTTCTATCTACGTGGCTTTACCGAAAGACCAAAATAATATGAATCCCATGCAGGCCTCACATAAAAAAAAACTAAGATCCCCCGTAAAGCCTTTGACACACTCTAGGGGTAATTGTTGTTAGTGAACACCTATTAAGTCATGCATGATGTAAGGTATGCCCAACACCTGTGTCCCCCTCCCCAAGTCTTGATGTCTGTACACTGCATCAGGGCCTCATTAAAGGCTGAGTCACCCTAGGGGAGGCCTAGGATCAGTTCAGATATCATTCGCCTCTGATGTTAGCTATGGCTGTAAATCAAACTCAGGTCACCAAGGTCACAGCACAGTGCAGTAACTACGTGTCACTGGTCCCCACACAGACTGCAATAAACAAAAATATCTCCCCTTCGAACTGCATTGCTGTTGGGCAAGTGCTGGTCGGGATTAAAACCCAAAACACCGGGAATACAGCACGATGGATGACTCATGATATGACTGTTGCCATACATGGAAAGATACCCAAATCAGCTTTAAAGACAAAACTATTGGGGAAAGATACCCAATTAGCCTTAAAGACGAAGTACAGCAAGCGCTGATAGCCAGCACATGATAGGTGGTGACATGAGCAGCACCTCAACCAGTCACCTTGGATTCCCCAGTTCTGGTATTTACCTCTCCGCACCGGGCATTCATGTCAAATCGCAATTAACGTAAGGAGGCGCAGGGCAGATACTAGCACCACTTATCTGCTGATGTAATTCATGTCCAGCAATGGAACCTAGGTATGTTCCAGTTAGTAGTGTCGGGTACGCAAGTGACTGTGATACCAATCCCCCCAGGCACACTTACGCCCACTAGCATGCTATCCCTCTCACGTGTTGGATTTGGTCAGATGACAAGAGAGAGTTTGTAAAATCTGTTACGGATCAATTTGCTCCGCAATCTTGGGAGTCGCGTCATGGCCAGACCTACGTGCGAATGAGTTGCCAACTTGCCTGCTCAGCAATCTTTTGAAAGTTTCAAACCTATAAGCCAAGCAAATTGGCAAAATGTATCAATCGTATCTGCGATGACCCCATGTCACCACACAGTAAATGGGATGAGACGTCAAATCTGCGTACTCGGGCAAAATTATTAAGACCGGGAAAAAGTTTATAATAAATGAATTAAGGGACAAATGTATGAATGGATATATTCGCAAATATTTGCATCAAAAGCCAATGGTACAAAAAATGTGTTTTTTATGTATGTATGTTGAACTTCTTTTGCACTGTATGAAGCCAACCATACTAATCGGAGGTGCGGAGGAAGGACAACAGTCTAAATCTTACTCATTTGAAATATCCGTGGGCATATTTAGCTTCCTTCTATTTGTCATTTGTGTAATTTCCCCGTAATTTTATTCTGATTTTGCAATCGGCGGCAAGTGACGAGACGAAGCGTCCATCCTTCCTCATCTCATGCAGCGCAGTGCAGCCCTCGAATATGGAGAATAGTTCACAGAACTGGATATCACAGAGCTACCTCTGAGACGCCCCCTTCAAGTAGCCTGGTCCACACAGTAGAGGGCACAACCCTTTGCCACTAATTCTACCATTCGAGATACATCTTTACCGCTGCACGACGGTCGGACTGATATTTTAATTGCCAGAGCTGGAATTTAGTTACATGATGAAGAAGAAAAACTCAGCACGTGCGTGTTGAGTCAATAACACTTTTGAGACAGTAACACTTTTGTTGACGAATGTGTATTGACTTGGCATGTCTGGCAGTGGTCCTTCTTCATAGCTGAGGATCTCTCTTCAGAGGATTTCTCTGCTATAAAGAAGGGCCATTGCTTGAAATGTCACATGTTATATTCTTATTATTCTTTAGGGCAGTGTAGTTGACACGGGTGTTGTATTCGTGTTATTTGTGCTTGTGCACCAATGCCAATCCAGCAGCGCCTTCTTTTTCTTGTGATAATATATCGTGGTAATTGGTGACTGGACTGACACCATCAACTCACTTCTACTTGAGAACATGCTTTAAGTCATAGCGCAGTGCTAATTTATTTGTCAAATTTAATGCGATGGGGTTCTTTTTCATTGCAATGATTGGTAACTGGGCTGAGACTGATCAACTCCCCACGAAATGAGAACCTGGTTTATGCCAAGGCAGGGGCCTGGATCTGAACCAAGATCTCCAGCAATGCCAGCCCAATGATCTAATCTCTGAGCCACCTGGCCACATCCAAGCTTTAGCTATTAGCGTGAACCAAAGTAATCTGATATGAAGAAGAGGGTGTGCGGTGCCATTGACTATAATCATTCTCATTTGCAGCGCTCTTTTCATTCCGCCTGGCAGCTTAGCGCTGGGTACGTTGCCATGTGCAGCTCCCACCTGGTCTCCTTTGTCTCCCCGAAGGCCCGTCAGACCGGGAGCCCCCAGCTCCCCTTTGTCGCCCTGTGTCACCGAGACACACGCAAACGCACACACACACACGCACATACGAACACACGCGCACATACGAAGACACACGCACATAAACACACGCACGCACGCATAAACACATGGGCATAAACACATGGGCACACACACGCGCACACACACAAACAGCACATGACGCAAACCTGGGACGGCGTGACCTCCGAGTGATTTGAATTAATTAGTCTGCTTGTTTATTTCTTAGATATTTACTTATTTGTTATGGCCATTTTTCCACATTGTCGCAAAGTACTCATCATAATATATTGCTGCTTTAAATAATATATATTTATACTGTCAGGGCAGATCGTTGGAGGCCGCTTTGTTTCCACTGCGCAGCAGCTGCGGGATCTGGCGGAGGGCGGAATGCATCGGCAGCGAGGTGTGGTGGTGGCATCGGTGGCTTTGGCGACGATGACTTCCTGATCTTGGCTCTTTTCATGAAAAGAACAAATGCGGTGAAAAAAAATACTGAGGTTCTTATTCAATCCGCTGCGGGATGAAGCCCTCCACCATATGCCGCATCTGCCACGGACGTTGTTTGCCATATTTCACCACAGCTGGTCAGTTCGGGCTGATGAAGGCGGGAGGGGGGAAGAGGGATGTGGGGGGGGGGGTGCATGCCGGTGCAGACATCACTCGCTCCTGAAGTTAGCCCATAGCTGGGAATCAAACTCGAGAGAGCTCCTGAGAAGAAATCCTCTAAGACAGCAATAGGCCTACTCTTCCACGCTGGGCAGACGTCTCAAGAGAGGTGGAAGAATCCACATTTGAGGCCACCATATGCGCACCTACTGATCGACCGACTGCAGTGTACTCATATACACTGCTGGGTGTATGGAGGTCGGGGGGGGGGGGTGGAGGTGGGTGGGGTTTAAGAATGAAGTCGCTCATTGCTTCTATTGCCGCATCGGGAGATTGAATCGAACCGGCGACCTCTGCATTTGCCGCTCACCGTCACAAAGCATCGCCCCCGCCCCCCCCCCCCCCCCCCCCCCCCCCCCCACATTGTGTATACGATATCTCTACAGACAGAGAGATTCCAAGTGTCGCGATGGTACATCGCACACGCGCGCAATCGTCACGTCTGCAAATTCGTAACAGAGTTGCTCGACGCGTTGTGCAAAGTGGCGCCGTGACCACGGGCTGCGAAACGTAGGCGCTCGGTGCAATGCATCCCCTATGAAAGGGCTGTTATTGCTCTGCAGTTGCCTCTCTAAAGCCCGCAGTCAGTGGCTTAACAAAATAAGCGTGCCTATATTTTGCCGTGGAGATCAATTACACACCTTTTCACCATCCAGGCCACGCCTACCACTCTCGCCAGCTTCTCCCTGGGAGGAAGGGGTGGGAAATAGTTAAGTAAACACAATGACAAACTCTCACAACCTAGCAGAGTATTCACAACGCCCTGTCTGTGACAACAATTTCACTACACTCAATTCCACTGCTCGTTCAAAATAATAATCGTCTTGTAAAAACAATGCACGCTGAGAAACTTCCTTCATAAGCCAGAGGGAAACGGGAGGAATTAGTCCCCAAAGCTGGAGTGGGTGGCTTAAAGCAGCGGTTCTCATCCGGGGGTACGAGGCGGACCCCTGCGGGCTACGTGGCAATGTCCCAGGGCGTACGTGAGGTGACTTACGTGTGAAATTACATCATACGCGAAGATTCATTGTTGAATAATCACGCATGAATCTGTCAGATAACTACGATAAATTTACATCCATATGGTAACCGAGAACGATATAAAATACCTTTCTGAACTCATTGATCGTGAACAATGCGATTTCCAAGAGTGACCAGCGAGCACAAAAAAATTACGTCACACGTGCAGAGCGTCCGCTGATTTATTTGTATTCGCTTGCAGTTACCAGCTGGTTAGGATACCTCACAAAATAACAAAAAAATTGGTTAAAATATTGATGTCCATTATTCATAGGTTCATTTCTCTCTCAGAACCATATCCGGTCAGGCAAATTGGGGTAACTCAGTTGAAACAAAATTCAACAAGTGGGGGTTGCAGCAGGAGCCAACAAAGGCTTAAAGCGAACGAACGGAATGAGCGAGGTGAACGTGAAGTTTAGCGGGGCTCAAGGGGGGTGGGGGCTGGGGGTGGTTACGTGAAGTCACGAGAAAAAAAAACAACGGCCAACGTTCGCCCCGTTCATAATCGCGAAAGGAGCGGTGAGGGTGCGGGCCCTGCAATTGTCCGCTCACGCCACTGCCGGCCGAAGGGCCCTCTGCTAGAGGGAGCTCTATAGATAACCCCTCCAGAGGGCATTTGACAGACTCTTTCAAGCTGGGCAAATTACTTCCGAATCATAAATCTTTATTTAGGCTGGAGGAATCCGATGAGCTCTTTTTCACCGATGTCCAGTATGGGCAAGGCAACTTGTATGAGTTGGGAGTAACCCACACTTCGTCCCGTCATACGCGACCTGAAGATCGACTAACGTGACTTTACCGAAAGAGCTAAGAATATGAATTACTGCAGTCACGAAAGCTTTCAATCAAAATTTAACTGGTACCCGTTTACGCTCCTGGATGGACAGAGAGAGGAGCCTCTAGATGACAATTTGGACAACTTTAACCACACTGGCCAGACGTCTTGGAATCCGTGAGAACACCCAAACTTTACTCCGCCGCACGTCACTTTAACTGTGGCATACCCACACATGCTGCTGGGTGGACAGCGGTGTGAAGATGAAATAAATCTAGCGATGTGTTTAAACTGCCTCGCCATGAGATCGAACCGGCGGCTTAGGCATCGCAAGCCCAGGTGCGCTACCCATCCACACCGTGGTAAGCATCCAGTGGTAATCACTGGAAACAATGTGTGCCAAAAATAAATACATCGGCTAATCATCAAATGTCAACAAAATTGACAGAGCACACCGTGTCTTGGGACGGAGAGAGACATCGGTCGCCTTTGCGCGCCAAAAAAATTTGGGACGAAAAGGAACACGAGCAAGCAACTTGCAACCTGAGTCCATTTTTGGTTGTCAAAGTCGGGGTTTTTGTAGCAACGCCACTTACTCACAGGTCTGCCTCAAGAAATGGCTCAGCCTCTCAAATCCAACAGCTCCGGGTTCTCACGGCCGCTGGAGAAAGGAGGGGATGGGCCTGGTGTGGTGGGGGGGGGGGGGGCAGGTGGGTCGGCCAATTTCGCGAACCCGCCTCTGCAAGAGCTTTAGAGCTCATCGGATTCCACCAATAGAAATAAAGATTCTGAGTTGAAACATTAACTTCTAAAATGCCCCTCCCTGTCACCTCTATCTAGCGAGCAGTTTAAATGGGTACACCACAGTTATTGATCAGCAGGTTATGTATGGTGGTGTAAATTGTGGATACTTCCACCTCTTATAACAGCATAAAAAAGTAGACCAAATTACCATCCTAAGTGGGTTCTATAGAGCTCCTTCTAGTGGAGGCCCTTTCCTCAGCAGTGCCACGGGCAAGTAAATTCAGGGCTGCACTTTGACCTTTTATTTAAAACTAAGCTGCTGAATACCACTGCCTGAGTTTAGTTTTTGTTGACGAGCCATGGGTAATACTGAAATAACACAAATATGCACGCTCAGCTGAATTCAAATATTGCAATGTAATCTCTTGCCACCTGATCCACCCAGCAATAAAAAAAATAACGCGATGTTATGAAAGGAAATCAGAGATTAGGTGGGTGAAAGTCTACCGTGCTGGCCGCGAACACCCCACCCATGTTAGACATACGGTGGTCAGCAAGAAACAAACCACCTAAAATAAAATCGAATCGAATTATTAATTTTATGCTGCGTCGTTCTTGCAAATTCCATCTCATAACCGCTGACCAACCCCAGACCAGGTTGGAAGGCTGCCAGGAGGTGAGCGAGCACCAACAAAGGCACTGCAGTTCTCTATATATTTAGATGTTATTTTAGCCACTTATGGAGTGTTTCTACAAGTCGGAGGGAACCGGAGTACCCGTGGTGAACCCATGCATGCGAGGGAGCAGCACTCTATCCCACACAGAAGGGACCGACAATAGAATAAATTCCCACGGGAAGGGAGTTTCTCAACATTTTGCCACTTGTCCGATCCACCAAGCCTCTCTGCATTCACGCACGGTGCTGGATCACAACGCCGTAAGCCACCACCTCCGTTCGGCTGTTTGAATGGAAGATATTCTTACCTTGGCACCGAGTTTTCCAGGAAATCCATCCAACCCTCTGACACCTTTGTCGCCCTTAAAACGAAAGCGCAAATTCCGAGAACGTTATTATTCTGGGGTGAGCTGTCGCAGCTACACTGACAGATTTTTCCAAGCAGACAAAAAGAAAACCCACCCCGGGACACTCCATTAGAAACACGCGTACACATTTTCAGGGGTCAATGCAGCACGTAAAAAAATATGTGCTCTGATATTAAAGTCCTGGATTAAAATAAAACGTGATATAAATCATCTTCCTGTAATGTTAACCCCCCCCCCCTCTCCATTTATTACAATTTCGTGTAATGTACGGTCGTGGAAACAGTAGTAATGATAACATTACTTTAGAATGTTGCCTCGGTGTGTAATGACTGCGGTATAGACTTTAAATGCACTATAGTTGCCCTCTGGGGTGGACAATTCCAGAGAAATACAGACGCTGCAGTGCCGAGGTACAGTTTGTAACGTCGTGTTGAATTTAATACTGCAGTGCATTCAAGCTACCGTCTAACAGAACACACTGATATCAGCATAAATGCTGAAGTACGGAATTTCTCGGAGCGCAACTATGAAACTGATCATCAGTGCCGCAATTAATTCTGCAATTAAAATTACTGATGTAACTGTTTAATTGGTTTCACAAAAAAATAAGTTGCCTGCCTCATCATCTCTCTCCCTACGCTGAATCAACGCTCAACAAATGCGCAGCAAAGGTTTTAAAAAAGAAAAATGTATCTCCGCGTCTATAATTTTTTTGCACCCGACTGCCTCGTTACTTGTGCCGCGTGCAGGCAAGGAAACGAAGTTATAATTAGCTCACCTTTTCTCCCGGGATCCCAGGCTGCCCGGCTTTACCGTGTTCTCCGGGAAGACCCTGAGAAAAAAAATATTTTGTATTAATTTCTCGCTCTCTTTCATTAGCGATGGATGAGCAAAGATGTAGGCGCCGCTCGAGTTGGTGAATCGCTACAATTCGCAGTCACGATTCGAGTCGAAAATGTATTCTGTCAAGGTTCACATTTTTTTGACCGAACTCATTCGTATTGGTTCTCTTTTGCTTTGGGGGCATTTGTCGTAGCATCTAAACCTTTGGCCTCGAGGCCACGTCGACATTAAAAAACACACCCATATACATAAAACACACAATTTGTATGAATTGTAAAGAATACATTCCTACAAGAAAAATCTGATGCGTGTATGTACGTTGAACTTCTTTCGCACCGTACGTAGCCGACCCGTGCTAATCACAGGTGCGGGGGAAGGACAACAAACGAAACACTACAAAGCAGTTCTAAAGAAATGAGTTTTAAATTTAGAGAAATTATTTTTCAATTTAGATTTATAGCATACGGGAATATTTGAATTGATGAACTCCTATTAATGTCTATATGTCACCAAAAAGTTGGTATAGGTAACACTTGATTTCATTATCTGTGCTCAGAGTACCTGGGTTGTGGATTAACCGTGCTTTTTAAACAATAGCTACAACATCTTTATGGGCGCTGGTTTAATTATTATCTGCTTCTCGCCCTTCGTGAGTTGGTGGCTCGTACGCTTTCATAGCAAACATATGCATTGCATTAATTTCGTTCGTTTGGTATTCGCTCCATTCTTATAGCCCGTGCACAGCTGTCACGAAGGTTCGATGTTTGACAGACAGGTTGCCAGAAGAGGGTATTATAGCTTTGCCTTTTTACCCAATTAACCAATTCAGTTGTGTTTCTTTGACCGACACAACCTCTTTCTCCTCCCAGCCCCCTCCCTCCGATGACCCCAGGTCATCCACAGTTGGCTGTCTCGGTTGTTATTTTTGCATGCGGACGCACAAAATGTCACTCACGGCTGGTCCTGCATCGCCCGGCTTTCCCGGCTTGCCGATTTCACCGGGGAGTCCCTGCGAGCCACACGCACAGCGTCACCGGCAAGGCTCGAATCGACGCGCGACAGGTGCCGGCGTGCGCACGGTTAGCGGCTGAACCGAAAGACGGTGTCACTCGCGCGGCAGGGAGACCCTGGGCTGCTGCGTCATGGCGCTTGGGTCACAGAGGGGTGGGCATTACCGAGGGGCCGATGGGTCCGGGTGGGCCAGGTTCCCCCGCGGTCCCTTGCTCGCCCTTCGCAGAGGAGACAAACATCACCGTGAGTGCATTACGGGCAATGGGCTATCATCGGCAGGGTCCCTGCCAGCACAGCCTCTGTGACAAAGCAACGCCATTATCGTCATCAGCGGCAACAGCAGCAACACCACCCACTACCTTCAGCACTGCCTCCACCAATCACGACAACAGACTCCACTGCCATCAGCACCACCGAAAGCGCGACTATCACCACCGCCGGCATCACTCCCAGAACAACCATTGGAACGTACACCACCACCATGACCAATAGAAGCAGCACCACAATGAGCACCATTAGCGCCACCAGCACTAAAACTAACACAACTACCATCATCGCCGTCATCATGCGATATGCCATCACAATACATGAAATCAAATCATAGCAATTGATTTAACAGCATGTGTTGGTGTTCTTGGCTTTCAAAGTAATGGACCCAACAAAGTACTGTATGGCAAATGCACCTTTAAAACGTAAAATATTCTGACATCGGCCTCTGCTTTCCATCTACAAATCAATAGACCTTCGAAATTGCCCAACTGCTTTCAGACAAGCCCAATTGTTTGCCGGTGTAAATGGCACCCATTTTTACAACCTCCTGTAATTTGTACCAAGTCTCCCATAATTTCGTGACCTTTAAGTGCCCTTCCATCCACTGCAATTCCCAGTCTCTAATAATGGGGTTCGTGAAAGTGCTCGTGGTCTGTAATGTTTAGTCTGCAAGTGAGAGCAAAAGCCCCACAGCACTTAAAAGAAACCCAACAACATCGGCAGGAAACATTCCAAAACTTCACGAGCAGCCGTTATTATTGAAGTTCGCGTCCTGCGGAAGACCGTATTCATTAGTGTACGTAAAAACGAACGCTGGGTGTGAGAAAAGAAAGCAAAAACCTTTGCGAATTTCAACAGCTGTGCCCGATGCACACGGCATGAAACTTTTATTTCCAAAGCCACATTTTTTTTACGCCCCGAGGAACGAAGCCATTTCACCGCAAACAAAAATCGGAGAAGATTATTTTGTGCCGACGTCGGCGCGCAACTTTGCCAAACGGACGAAATGTCCCCTCGCAAATTTCGTTTACAAAGCACACAGAGCGGGATTGTCCATGCAAGCGGCGCTGTCCGCACAATTAAATCAGCGCGGCCCGTAATCGCTGCCAGCAGTGAGATGATATCAGAGAGGGGGTCGCGCCTCGCTGTCGGATTTCGTGCCTCGCTTCCCACTTACCGGCAGTCCCTGCAGCCCGTCCTTTCCCGGGGTACCAGGGTCACCACGTTTACCCTGCAAAAACAGCCGCGGAAGTCGCGCGTCATTACGGCACCGTCGCGGGGTTTTTGCATTCCCCCGGTAGAAGCCGCACCACGTCGCGGAGGTGAACCCTCTCGTCGGGCCACGTCGCGCCGAAACAACAAATACGCGTCGAGAGCCCCCCACCACACCCCCACCCCTTAGGAGAACATACACGGGAGAGAGCGGCGGCTTCGTGTCATTGTCCGTGGAGGAGCTGACCGCGCCGTAAATCGCGCGAAAAGGAATGAGAAAACGAAACAGTCCGTTGCGGATCTACGCCGCTTTATTGGCCTCGTTTGACGCGAGCGTGACGAGCGGTGGCGACGGCGCGCCCTGCGAGAGGAGCCTCAAACCTTCATCGTGTGCCTCTCGCTGCCCGGCCAAAATTGACCGGCGCAAGTGGAAGGGAAGTCATTTTCTACGATGGAAGTGGTGGCGGTAACCAAAAAAAAAGATATACGTTGTGTACTGGTTTTTATTTGTGTGTTTTACTGCAGTGCCTATTGCTGAGTTACACTTGTCTTTGGTTCATTGGGAGGAGGAAAGGTTTCAGTCGAGCGGACCAATGGTGCATATATTGTTCAAGACAATGATATTTTATAATTTGCAGTCCTTTGCCAATACAATAGTGGATGAAAGCCCCCCCCCCCCCCCCCCCCCACACACTGTGTGGATCAAGGGGGTTGTTTGACGGCATGCCAGCTCACCGGTCAGTGCCGGATGGTGGAGGGGGGGGGGGGGGATGGGCCCAGGAAAATTTCAGATATCACTTTCTACCGACATCCATTGGCGAGAATTAAACTCGGGTATGCTGGGGGGTTCATAGCGCAGTTCGTGAGCCCCTGCCCAAACTGTCAATACCCGAATCTAGTGGCAAAAAGGGACAATTATTTTCTTAAAAACGCTATGAATCATTGTCAGTAGTTGTGGTACCAGTGGAAAGTATTGGAGGCAGAAAATCCCATGAAATCACTTATTAATATGTATAAAAAAAACCAAAATAATTTGGACGTGTTGGCTGCAAACAACGCGTTTGGAGGACATCGTGCGAGTCGGGGATTTTGCACAGTGAGGTCGGCAGGGGACCCGTCAGTTGTGGTGTGTAGCAGGGGGGGGGGGGGGATGGGGCTCAATGAGACGTCCCAAACGGCGTCACGGTTTACTGGCAGCGATCGAGCGTCGAGCGGGCGAGCAAGCGGCACGGCTTGCCAAGGTGGTGGGCAACAGCAATGCTGGCTCCGCTCGCGTGTTCGGGACCGTGCAGCGTCAACCTTCACGTGTGGTCACCATTGACCATCATTACACTTCTTAACTCTCTATTCTGAGTAAAAAGAAAAGCGCCATTGTTTTTTTTTTCATTAAAGTTAATAATTTTCGACCCTCCTGGATAGGCCTGGATCATATACGTATGTATATATTTTACTGCCGTTTTTCTACATGTAATTTTACATCACAATTTTGTGTGAAAGTCAAGGTTTCAGATGATATTTTTTTATTCTCGTTAGTATGCGTGGACGATGCAGTTAATTCTCAGGCATAGCTTTCCGTGTTTGTCTCCAATTGTGCGCCCTTCATGGGCAGGTCTACACATTTTACTGGCCGTAGAAACAAGTCCCAAGCATGCAATTACGGCCAAAAAACTTAGCATCGGTTTGACCTTTTGGGGGTTAAATTTGCATTCAAGTTCTTGCTTGGAAAAGGTCATTAAAATGATTGTTTGGGTAACAAACCCCCCCCCCCAATAGACCCAGATAAAGACCGAGCTTAAGAAACGAGCCCTCTTAGTCCTGCAGCTATACCTAACAACGGTAATGTCTTCCAATTTTACCGGTATATATTTTTTTAAAACCGCGATACATTTTTCCGCACGTTTTAGCCGCCGCTCAATTTGGTGATCGTGCGAAGGATTTGCCAGAAGATCGTGCGAAGGATTTGTCAGAAGGCGGCGGCGCCTACAGGCGTTAACGGCGAAAGCGCGAGTGTGTGCGCATAAGGAGCTGCCAGACATCAGCCCGTGCGAGGAAGACGGTACGCTGGTGTCTACTTGGGCCTGTCATGCAACGGAGGGGGAAAGAGACTGAAGTCTCCGTGCATTATCATCTGTGGCCCTAGAGTGGTGTGGCTATTTCGATATTAGCTGCATTCCAAAAAGCTTTCAGGCATCTTGCAACGCTAGCTTAAGACTTGTCCAGGGTAATTGACCATAAGCACATCCGTTAAAGCTCAGCGATTACACTGATCACCGTCCGGCCAGCATCCCCTAGGCAATCTTTGTTTCAATGCAAGTGCCATTTATTTTTTTCTACTTTCTTTCTCTCTGGCTCTGTCTCACCCACACCCTGGCCCCAGCCCAGTGTCTTGCTTACACAGACGCGGGCGGCACTGGTGCGTCGTATGTACTGGCGGCGAGCGGCCTTTCGCCCGTGGAAATAATGCGAACGTTGAAACGGCGGCTCCGTCGCTTGAACGTGAACGCGCGGACCCATCCTCGGTAATGGGAAGGCCCCTGTGTACATCCGAGCACCCAGGGAGGTAACGCAAACATCATGGGGGCATTTGAAATCTACTCCAGCGTCCTGGCCATTAAGACGCTGTTATTGATACGCGGTCATTATGAGTCTGCGAGACAGAACCAGCCAAAGTGACATCGTACCACTGCTGCGGATGCATTGTACTGCTTGTGCCAGGCTGGGTCTACTTTGTGAGGATTTTTAGGCGATATCGATGGCCTTTTTCCGAGTAAAAAAGTATTTTACGACAATGATGAGAGGCGTGGAGCTGCGGCGGAGTGATTAGCGCACTGCGCCACAAATCTGGCCAACAGGCACGTGAGTTCGATTCCCACCCATGGCTAACATCGGTGGCGCGTGAACTTTTGTTCCTGCCTTCACCAACCTGCACCCACCAGCATCATGAAGTATAATCATGGGGGTTGTAAATTGTCAATAATTACTATAAATATACCGAATTCAGGACATCAAATTATAACCGTGGCAAGAGTGCCACATTCTGCAGGATCATGCCATTATCAAGTCTTCCTTCTCTCAGCATCTATCGTGGCGGGCAGCACCAGTTATTTAGTTTCAAGCAGAAGCATGGGGGAGAGTGGCAGCGATGTAGGGTGCCGCAGTGGCGAGATGTTAACTGTCTCGCCTGTATATTTGGAGGTTGCGTGTTCTCCCCGTGGTCGCGTGGATTTTTCTCCGGATCCTCCGGCTTTCCCCTCCACATTTAGAAACACCCATTTCGAGTATTTGGCTGCTATAAGTGTCCACGCAATAAGCCACTTCGTTGAGCAATCGTTTGTGGCCAGGCCGCCTCTGAAAAAGAGCTGTGTAGCTTACAGTGGGCCTTATCTGCCAAAAAGCAAAAACAGTTTATAGTTTACGCTCGCAAGTGCAGTGCCGTGCGAGAGACGAGAACTTCATTTTTCAGACGTCCTCAAGTAATTTCACATTCACCGGCACCGGTGGAAGTGAGCGCACGCGGAGCGACAAACACCACGGGAGGGGTGGTGGGGGGGACGACGACACATCTGCCCACAGGGGGCCAACGTCGGCGAGCTGCCCCAGCGCTGTTAATCCACACACACAAGCCCCGGTGTGTCCTTGTTTATGGCCGACTGGAGGGTCGGCCTGCCAGCCTGCCGCCAAGCCGGCCGGCGGGCCGGCGGCCGCCGTTGCCGACCGCAGGACGACAACAGACGCCTCCCTCGCTCTTTGTCAAAGGCGCGGCGCGGCGTACACGTGCACGCGCGCGTTGAACTTCTTTCGCGCCGTGCGTAGCCAGCCGTGCTAATCGGAGGCGCGCGGGGGAAGGACGACGAACTAAACACAAAAAAGCTGTTTATTAAGACGGACGTCGGAAGCGCGTCCGCAAGCGCGCGACGAGAGCCGATGGGCGACGGCGCCATGGCCGTGGTGCGCCGAGCGTTTAGCGGCAGCGGCGAGCACGCCAGGCCGATGGAAGTTTAGCCACCCCAAAAGGAGGGGGGGGGGGGGGACCCACACCCAGTGGTCGACGCCGATGTTTCTACAGAATCAATCAGAATAGTTAATTATCCTGGAGGAATCCGATGGGGGCTACGAAGCTCTTTTGCGCAGGTGCCCGGTCTGGGGCGGGTCAGTAAGTTACAACAGCAAACTGATACGAAAACACAATGGGAGTAAGGGAATCACTAAAATAATGAAACTAAACTATTTACATTTCACTAGTTGAAGCCCACTGAGCTATTTGCTTCCTTTTTCAGAAGCGACCTAGCTATCAAAAATTATTGCACAATGAAGTGGCTTATCACGTGGTCAACATAGCACTGCAGTGTTCCGGATGGCAAATCGTTACAAAAAGGTAAAGAAAACCGTGCTTATTAAAAAAAAAGTTTGGCGAGATAATATTGGTCACAATGGCAGCGATGCCTGGAGCTGCACATTTATGCTCTATCTTTACACAAGCGCAATTTTGTGCTATTGAAGTAAAACATCGACATGTTTCAATAAAAAATGTCACAATTACACTTGTGTAGTGACACAGCGCCGACTGCTGTACAGCAGCGGCAACTGCAGGTGGACACTGAGCGCACACGCCACCGAGCATACACACGGCGTGTGTGCCGGCAAGGTGGAGGAACTGGGGCAAGGGTCACGGAAGACCTCGTGGGGAGGCCCCTGGAACCCTCTGGAGGGTTCGAGAAGGGAGGCGTGGCCAGGGCGGAGCCAGGCCGCGCCGAGGGGAGTAAAAGCGGCGGAGAGCCGGGAGAGTTCCGGGCTGCCGGTTCTGAGGGTGGACTCGTCGCTATCGTCGCTGCCCTCGTCGCTGCCGCCTTCGCCCGATCATTGCGCGGCCGGACAGCGGTTGGCTGTCCCGGTCGACGCCGTCGGTGCAACGTGGACAGGGTCGTGTCTGGGACGAGACGTACGGCAGCGTAGTCGCGAGAGACAGTAGGCCGAAGTTGGTGGAGTTGAACTACCTCATCTCCGACTGAGTTTGTGCAC